TGGTGGACAGAGCACAGATAGCCTATTGTGTAGCTTTGTGCTTAATTACAGAAAACCAATAAAAAAGGGCAACTCCTCTGAACTGTAGGTTTCTAAAAATAATAATTTTATTTGTCATTAATGAGTGATTTCTTCGAATTTATTTGGTCAGTTCTTTACACTTAATATTGTAACAGGAACAAACATACTATTATTCAACATTATGCAATATGTGTGTCCAACCTTTATTGACAGGAAGGTTAAAACCATATGTACACATCATGTTGCGAATAAACGACCGTCACGTTTTCACAATACAGGCCTGGCATGGCCAGGTGATTAGGGAGATCGACTCGCAATCTGAGAATCCGCGGATACGAATCACCGTCCCACCAAACATGCTCGCCCTTTCAGCCAATGGGGGGCATTATAGTGTGACGATCATACCCACTATTTGTTGGTAAAAAGAGTAGCCCAAGAGTTGGTGGTGGGTGGTGATGACTAGCTGCCTTCCCTCTAGTCTTTCACTTCTGAATTAGGGACGGCTAGCGCAGATAGCTCTCGTATAGATTTGCGCGAAATTCCAAACAAACCAAACTATATATTCGTTAAAACTTGGGTAACGCATTATTGGCGTGTCTTCAGTGACTTTCAATGGACCTGAAATATTGACTATCTTGCCCCGAATCGACGTGAAAATTTTAAAATATTATACAAAACACTTATAGCTTGTATAGCTATAAGTGTCTCAAAATAAAAGTCAAAATATTTCCTTGTATATTTTCATATTCAGATCGAAGCTAAGAGCAATATGGCCAAAGAGACAGAAAATTGTTGTAACTATTCCAATTCTTGAGTAATTGGCTTTCCTGAAAAGGTAAAATATTAGTGAAGTATTAACTGATAGTGAATATCTAAAAAAAGAAAAAGAAACTTGTAATAAATACGTTTGCAACTTTCAGTTGAAAAGGTTTTTCAATAGAAAGAAGATGTGGTACTGAAAACCTAAAATTGTTTAATCGGGTGTGTACATGCTAAAACTATAGATCTTTCTGGATTAGCCTGAATAAAGATAAGGTTCCACATATAAGAAAAATTGTATTCCTTCATATATACAGGCCAAGTGTCGGTTGGTCAGTCTGTCGCTCACGCACGATTTCTCAGAATTTCTTAGCTTACACGAATTCAATTCCACTTTTTCTCCTATAATACTTCCCCCTTATGATTGTCCATTCCCATTTTAGTTGAATTTAATTGCTAACATAGGCGTAAATAATTCATACGTTAAAGCACTTTTTTTCCGCTATATGAAAGCCTGTTAAACAGGGATTTTCCAGAACCAGATCAGGCATGGCGTTATGTGTGGGACACATAAATCATCCCCATCATTATGACGTCAAGCTAGGTAGGATCCGAATAGGAAAGCCGAGAAGACTCCCGTGATCTAAGACAGGAAAGTGCATTCGTACCGTATCAACGCTTGTGCAAAATAAGTCAAAAATTAGCGCAAATCTATGCTTTGGAATTATTACGAAAAAGTCTTTGTTAAAACAGACTGAAGATCCCAATTATCTGTAGGGAAGAAAATGGCTTTTCCTCAGAGGAAGAACAGGTCTGTATGCAATCACATGGTCATCGTATGTTTTAATCTTTTATCCCAAGGCACCAAATATGTAACATGTTTGCTCAATTATATGTAGTATATTCAGGAGCAATATGTAGCATGTTCTTGGGTAAGGAAATTCTATATTTCTTTCATATCTTTTTTATACGGAATAGCTTTGTTTTCCAGTGGTTTCCCGTTACTTTTGACGAGCTTTTACACTAGAAAATTAATAAATTAGAAACGAAAACATCAGCTGTGTAAGCATTTTGCTTTAATAATACCAAATCTTGTTCATAAATCAAGAATAAACTAACGTTTCTTTCTAGAGAGGTTGCCTAAAGGCGCGAGACTTGAGGATTTGATGTTGATTTTTAGACCAAGAAATTTTAATTCAGAATTGAGGGGAAAGAAAACAAAAACATTTCACAGATACGTCATTTATTAACGACTATGGTTTCGCCAGTACAGGCATCAGGCACCACGGTCCTTAATAAATGAAGCATTTGTGAAACGTACAATTATGTTTTTTTTTCCACTCACTTCTATAATTATGGAGTTTCACCCAAGTAGCAACAGTTTCAAGTACCAATTATATAATTCTAATTCAAATAATCAACAAAATGTTTGTTATATGGTGAGAGGATACTACTAGGAACCTTTATAACAGTAAAACATTCGTTGGGCGCAAGTTTAAGAAATAAAAAATAACGAACCTCACAACACCTTACTAAAAACTCAGGACACCCACATCTCTAAAAATAGATGTAACAGAAGAATACCTATTTGATCCTATAATCAATCACGAGTCTCATCGTAATCTTTTCTAAAACCGAGACCTTAGCATATAGTGTAGATTCAGTGACAACAATATACTCGCTGGACGAAGTGCTAATATACAATATGAAAGTTCAATAAACTCTAATATGATACAAGAAAATTTATCGAGTGCCATGTGGTATACAGATACACGTTAGATTCTAGTATGAATCAAGACACCCGCAAAACGTTTGTATAATGGTAAGACACTCATTATCTGTTGGTATTACAAAATGTGACACATTATACTACAGTATAAAAGCAAAGCGCCTATCAGAAATACGAGACTCACCTGATGCTAGTGTAATGACAATATACCAGACAGTAGTGAGCTCTTGTTTATCTTCTTGGAAATTTCACCTAGTAACACCATTGTGTCAGCAGTAGTAACATAATTAGTATTTAGTATAGCTAGTTTGAATTTTAAAACTCAAAGTACAACATTTAGCTGAATCCTCGCTTAATTTTGATCCACAGTGGGGTTCAGCAGTACGACTGAAGGCTTATTACGCTAAAAACGGGTTTCGACATCCATAGTGGGCACAGCATAGATAGCCCATTGTGTAGCTTTGTGTCCAACAACAAACAAACAAACCTAGTTTAATTTCACCACCTTAGCTTTTCTTCCACATCAGCGAATTTATTGCAATGCTTGATATATAAGAAATTCGTTTGCAAAGAATAAGAGAAAGATAAATTTGAATTCCACATTTTTACCCTATGCTCTCTTTCTCACAAAGTAGATCCGAAGCCATTATTGAAGCTTAATTAAGCAGAAGTCTTTGACGACTAATAACAAGAACGAATCGAAAACTTTGTCGTTGTCTATATAATACATTACGAGTTTTAATAATTCCATCATACAAAAAGATACGGTGTGGAGAGGGGGCACAAAAGAATAAAAGTTTAAAGTCTGAATCGTATATTTTAGTCTTGTAACTATCTTAAGTTAATACTTTATCGATTCTTATTATGAGATATATAGTTATTTTGTTTTGTTTTCGACAGTATAAACGGCACTGGAACGTCCACAGATTTGGAGATTCTTGACGATTTGTTGAAAAACTACGACAGAAGAGCTCTTCCAACCAGTCACCTCGGTAAGCCTAAAAACAAACAAACCAGTCGCCTTGGTAAGCTTAAAAACAAACAATTTTTAACATGTTTCTTCCTTTTGTTTGTGAATATCTTAGCTAGTAGTAACAGAAATATTTTATTCGCTGCGGATTAATACATGCACAAAACGAATAACATAATATACACAAGTCAACGAAAGTGGCACAGACAATGTTTGAATTATTTTAAAATCGGCCCGGCATGACCAGGTGGATAAGGCGCTTGACTCGCAATCTGAGGGTCGCGGGTTCAACTCCCCGTCCCACCAAACATGCTCGCCCTTTCAGCCGTGGGGGCGCTATAACGTTACAGTCAATCTCACTATTCATTGGTAAAAGAGTAGCCCAAGAGTTGGCGGTTGGTGGTGATGACTAGCTGCCTTCCCTCTAGTCTTACACTGCTAAATTATGGACGGTTAGCGCAGATAGCCCTCGTGTAACTTTCCGCAAAATTCATAACAAACAACCATTTTAAATTGAAAGCCTAGAAGAAGGGCAACTAGTGAACAGAACCCACCGCTAACGTTTTTGGCTACTGTTATCTGACCGCATAGTAGAACTTGACTGTCACTCATATAACGTATCCACGTCACCAGAGTTCGGGGAGCATTTTTGCAGAAACGAACGACGAATTATATAAACCCTCGGATTCATAGACCGAGCACGCTAACCACAATACCATGCTCTGGCTAAAAATAATCTTGTTATATATGTATATATATATTTTTTTTTCTTTCATTCATCATTTAAATATACTCCGAGTTAAATTTTGAAGAAACATTATTTGTAAATTTGTTTATAAAAATATTGAACTAAAATATCTAATCATATTTGAATGACAATTTCCATCTCAAAAATTGTGAGTTTCTTGCGCAGGCACTCCAACTGTGGTCACATGCGAGATCTATATACGAAGTTTCGGTTCAATCAACCCTGAAACAATGGTGAGTGAAAAAAAAACAGCTGTTTGATCACGTGATTACTTTTATTTCCAATGATTATTAAACTTACTTAACAGTTTTGTACAGTCGTATAAGTTAGTCTAGCATTTAGCTCGAACCGTTCTAATTAAAGAACAAATATTCTATATAAAAAGAACAATAATAATTAAAACTGGAAACTTTTAAGCACCGATACTCGTCTTATAGTATAAACCCTCACAAGAAAGTGAAGGAAAAACTTAACAATGCCAATAGTAAGAAAGGACAGTCTTTCAATTCTAAGCCTGTAAAATGAAAAATCGTCAAAATGTTTGGCCTTGCCCTTTGTACTAGCGTTACAATGGGATTTGATTCTTAACGAAACGGGTGTGAAAGCCTGAGTTAGGAATTTAAACACTTGAGAGACTGTTGGAGCAGATTATGTAGACTGGTATAATAAAGAGTAGAGAGGGGGAACTACGAAGAATTAAATATTGCAAACATTTTTACACATAGAAAAATCAACTACCTGGGAGAACGAATTAATTTTGGCACTTTGTAGCTTATCCATTTTTAACATTTTTAGTTTATTAACCTCTGCCAAAAGTAATAAACTCTCAGCAGTTAATTATAAACAAAAATATTTCCGTTTTATTCTCCTTTATTATAGCTGCCAAACAATGACTTGTTAATTTTAACCCTTTGTGTTAGGAATGAAAGATATTAATAAATATGAAATTATACCTCTCTCTCTAGGTTGAATTTAAATTGATTGTTTGTTTACAATTAAGCACAAAGCTAAACAATGCTCTGCCCACCAAGGGTATCGAAACCCGGTTTCTAGCGTTGTAAGTCAGCAGACATACCGCTGTGCCATTGGGGGGGGGGCGAATTTAAATTGAAAAAC